ACACCCACACTTCGGATTATATCCGAGAATTATGTGTACTACTAAAAGTGTATATGGAAATCATGGGATTCCCTAATCTCGTCAATAAGACTTTCGCCAACTAGACATTCGCCGATGGTGAAAGTACCATGGACTTTGGCCAATTGACGAAAGTCCACAGGGTGTATTGGCGAAAATACAGTGGACATTCGCCAATTGGCGAATGTCTCAAGTATTTATGACGAAAGTACAGCGGATTCTCGCCAAATGGCCAAAGTCCTGAGTCCTATTGGAGAAGTTACAAAGGACTCTCGCCACTTGGCGAAGGTACACTATGTTTTCATCAGCTAGTGGAAAAATTTACTAAAGTTCTACTATTTCTTATTTAAGAATACTAATAAAGATTCTGTGGTAAAACTCAACATGAGCTGATACATCTTTTTACTTGCATTTGTGACAGCCAATAAAGATTTTCTTCGTGTATGAGCGATTTTTACTGATGGTAGTTCTGTGGATTTTTGCCAGTTGCCGAGAGTCCACGAAGGTACTGCAGAAAAGACAATGGACATTCGCCAATTGGTGAAAGTCCATTGAGTGTGTTGGCGAAACTACAGTGGACTTTCGCCATTGGCGAGAGTGCCAGTTGGCAAAAATCTTATTGGCGAGAGTACGGTAAGCCGAAATCATACGGAAATATCGGTATTTTTGCAATAACTCAGGAATGGCTAGGCCAATTAGGCTCATCTTCGAACTCAATCGAGATCTTGATATGACTGAATTGTGTAGAAAATTTCACCAAAATCTGCCTCTCCCTTCGAAAGTTGTCGTGTATACGGACGACGGACAGACACACTGACCGATTCTAGAGTGTACTCACCTTTTGAGTACACAAAAAGAACACAAGCAATCGTTCATTAAAAAACATATGTATTAAATACAAAATAAATCTATCGATTTTATAGAAGAAAAATTAGTTAAAATGAATAAAATATTTATTTAGCAAATTGTCTTTTATATTCTAAAGGAATAGGACAATTGTCATACATTGCTCTTTCCGCTATTTTTATCATCATATCAGAATTCATTAATTTCGGTGCTAAACGTTGTCTTATTGCACGTACAATTGGATTTTGTGAATGAAAAAATAAACCCAGATATCGTGACATATCAACAACACGTTTTGTTCGTTTAAAACGTATTTTATAATAATCTTGAAATGCTGATTCCATTTGAAAATTATGTTTTTCTAAGCATAATGTAAGTACTATAGCATCTTCAATAGCCATACTAGCACCTTGTCCAACATATGGCAATGTTGCATGACATGAATCTCCTAATAAACAAACTCGATTACGATGCCAATTATCATTACGATGTTGACGATAAAATAAACCAAAATGAAGTAATCGTCGTTTGTCTGTTATTGCTGCACATTGATGAACAGGATGTGTTTGAGGAAATAATGTTAAAAATCGGTTTAATTCACGTTGATTATTCATTTCGATCCATTCACTATCATTATTGCTTGGTGGAGGTACATCCGAAGGATATGTAGCAGCCCACATCAATTGTCCTCGAGTACCAACACGAAAAGAAATAAATTCTCCATAATCAAGACATTGCGTTAATGTATTTTTTTGTATTATTGATGGATGTAGAGATGTCTGTTGATCAATATTATCTATAATACCATAGAATACGTTTTCTTTTGAATATATTGGTGGGGCTGTTTGAGAAAATATTTGTTTCACAACTTTTGAATGAATTCCATCGGCACCAATAAGCATATCAACTCGAACTGGTTTTTGTTCTAATGCATTTTCAAATGAAATTTCAACTCCATCAATATCTTGTTTAATATCAATGACTTTATGTGAATAATGTAAAATATGATTTTTTTCGAGAGGTTCTTTTAATATATCAATAAGTTCAGCACGAATAGCACCACCCTCATAGAAATCAAATCGTTTTCCATATTCACTCAAATTATTTGTTGTATTTACAACTTTTCCCTTATCATTAATTAAATGCCATTTATAAACAGGATGAACAAGTTTTTCAGTTTGATCTTTAAAACCCATATATGCGAGACACATTTGTCCATTTGGTTGAAAACTAAATCCAGCTCCAACAGTTGGAATAAAACATGGAGAACGTTCATATAATGAGACAGACATTCCCGTACGAAGTAAACAATTAGCTAAAGTCAAACCACCAATTCCTCCACCAATAATAGCTACGGAACGAGCAATTGCCATATTTATATAAAATTATTTAAATCTGTTGATCACAGTTAAGAATATAGGTTTTTATACTATAATTGCCCTAACGCGGGTAATGGTAATTGGCTGAAGCAGAAGCCGAAGACTGAAGCGACTTAAGACGCTGATTGGCCGCCACTGAATATTCGATAAACCAATAACTGCTAGTCCATAAGTTACCTATAAGTAGTAAACATCTAACATATGCAAATTTTTCTTGATAATAACTATCATCTATAAAAATATAGTTCTCCCTGAACATCAGGTCGCGTTTTATGAATTGATATTCTAAATATCTGAATTAATTTTTAAGTTTATCTGTTGTGTGATAACGCGACTTATCCTTTAAATATTGTTTTATTGATCAAATACACAGTCTATAATTTATTCTCTTTTGATGACTCGACTCATCTAATGGAGATAAGTCGACTTATCCTTTTCATAAATTTTATTGAACTAATATGTATAGTGTAATATTTTACTCTTTTGACTGCCAAGCCATTTTTCATCCTTAATAACGACGATACCCTAATTTTGAATATTCATGATATTCCTATCTGTTTTGTCTCCCTAATAGCGGCACATTCACGAAGTTTTATATATTATTCAACAAGTACACAGTTTTTTATATTTATATTCGTAAAAATAAAAGTAAAACATATGAAAGATTTTAAGGATAAACAATAGAGTTGATTTTTTCAAATGAAGGATAGATTTTTTGAAGAGATAAAGAACACGATATTCGTGTGATTATATTCGTTCAGCTAAATCTTCAAGTACTTCTTAGAAATCAAAGTTTTCTCGTTACATCAACATACTCACACCTACTCACACCCTGAAGATGAATAATATATAAAACTTCATGAATGTGTCGCTATTGAGAAAAAAATAGCTAGAAATATCACGAATATTGAGGGTGTAGGTGTTGTAAAAAGCTCTCATCTGCACAGATACTAACATCCACACCCCCTACAAATTGGTTTGCTATTATAAAGAATGATTTTGCTGCAAAATCATATACCCCATCATATGTGAATATTAGCTCACCGTCGTTATTACGCAAATGACACCTAATAACGATGATCAGACTATTGCATTTTATACCGATGATTTCTCTATGAAAGCATGAAATAAATTTGATGCAAAATACACCATTAGAAAGAGCGTCATCGAGAGATTCCCCAAATATATAATCATTAGCGATCGGAGTTGAAATAGATGAACGCTACGTGAAACAAGATGAAGAACTAATTTTGCGTCGTTATTAGGAAAATTGTCTCTAATTATAGAAAGTTCAGAAACGGAATAGTTTTCATTTTTTTTAATTTGATAGAAATGAGAGCAAATTTTTGGCTAGAAAATAAGACATCATATAAAGCTGAATGATATTTATCTTAACTTATCTAAGAATTTATTGAAGTCA